CGACCTCTCGTGTCGCGCGCAAAACGCCCTCGTCACCTTTCAAGGACGTCCCCTGCGTCTCACGGAGGCGGAGCAGGCCCAGGAAGAGATTGTGGACGACAGCGACGAGTTGGACGAGGCCACGGGTGTCGCGTCCCGGTCTGAAGCGTCGTCCAAAGAGGATGAGTTGACGTTTGACGTGACCGAGGAGGTGCTCGACTTTGCACGCGTCGCGGTCCTGTACATCCTGCAGGAAGCGGCGGCGAGCGACGCCGAGGCAGCACAGACCAGTCTCCAGCGGTTTTTTAGCGGTGGGCAGGCTATACCGTCGGCCATTTCGCAGAAGGATGCGCAAAATGTGACGGTGGGCGCCAAGGACCACACTGTCAACCTGGTGGACTTTGGCATCGACTTGGGGGATGGAGTGGTCGGCAAGGCATCCTCGTCCAAGAGTCGGAGGACGATACGTCGCACAAGCAGTAGGAGCAGTCATTCTCGGCATTTTGGGTTATGACAAGTAGTTCGCCGTAGGGGGCCGCTTCCTCTTTTTTGCAGATGGGGATTGCAGGGTCTTTCTTGTATATAGAACATTCGCTTCACACACAACACACACACACACACACACACATACATGGATGGGCAAGGGGCAGCCTCACGGGTGTCTCCGGGCAAAGAATAGATGTATAGAGCCCAGAACGCGCTTGTCTCTTCCATGCTATGGGGTATCCACAGGATGTTGATGTCTATATACAATGGCGGGCTTGAACCTGCACTACATCCTGAAGACACCGAATTTGGTGGCACCGGCCTTACACTCGTTGCGGCCGCCCATGGCCGCGTCGAGACCGAGACCGAGATATCGTCGAGTATGCTGTGGCGGGATGATGCCGTCGTCCTAATTTGTCAGTAATGCTTCTCTTGGTCCCAAGACAGGATACATACCCATAACCGTGCACTCGAGAATGTGGCGTCGCTCTCCCGGTCGATTCTCTCCTTGAGTGCCGGGTCGACCTTTTGCCCGACCGTCTCCATGACGCTGGCGAGCTGCTCGCCGCCCATGACGCCAATCTTCGCATTGGGCCACATCCACAGGAAGCGGGGGCTGTAGGCGCGGCCACACATGCCGTAGTTGCCGGCGCCGTAGCTGCCGCCGACGACGACGGTGAACTTGGGCACGTCGGCGCACGCGACGGCCGTCACGAGCTTGGCGCCGTGCTTGGCGATGCCGTCCCGCTCGGCGGCGCTGCCGACCATGAAGCCCGAGATGTTCTGGAGGAAGACGAGGGGGATGCCGCGCTGGGCGCAGAGCTCGATAAAGTGCGCCCCCTTTTGGGACGACTGGGGGAAGAGGATGCCGTCGTTGGCGACGATGCCGACCTTGTGGCCGTGGATGCTGGCGAAGCCGGTGACGAGGGTGGTGCCAAAGTCGCGCTTGAACTCGGAAAAGTGCGAGCCGTCGACGATGCGCGCAATGACGGAGCGGATGGGCATGGGCTTGCGAAGGTTGGTGGTGGCAATGCCGAGGAGCTCTTCCTGCGGGAAGAGGGGCTCTTCGTAGGCCTTGGCGGCCGTGGAGCGTTCGGGCCAGTTGAGGTTGGAGATGGACCGCCGCGCGAGGGTGATGGCGTGGGCGTCGTCGACGGCGAGGTAGTCGGTGACGCCCGAGACGGAGCAGTGCATCTTGCCGCCGCCCAGGTCCTCGGGCGAGACGACCTCGCCTGTGGCGGCCTTGACGAGGGGCGGGCCCGCGAGGAAGATGTGGCCCTGCTCGCCGACGATGATGCTCTCGTCGCTCATGGCGGGGACGTAGGCGCCGCCGGCCGTGCAGGGTCCCATGACGACGGAGATCTGGGGGATGCCCTGGGCCGACATGCGCGCCTGGTTGTAGAAGATGCGGCCAAAGTGGTCCCTGTCCGGGAAGACATCGGCCTGGTGCGGCAGGTTGGCGCCGCCCGAGTCGACCATGTAGATGCAGGGCAGGTTGTTCTCCTGGGCAATGGCCTGGGCGCGCAGGTGCTTCTTGACGGTGATGGGGTAGTAGGTGCCGCCCTTGACGGTCGAGTCGTTGGCGACAATCATGCACCGCACGCCCTCGACAACGCCGACGCCCGTAATTATCCCGCCCGCCGGGACCTCCGCCTCTGGGTACAGCTCATAGCCGGCCATGGGGCTCAGCTCGAGGAATGTGGTGCCCTGGTCGATGAGGGCCGTCACGCGGTCGCGGGGCAGCATCTTGCCCCTCTGCAGATGCTTCTGCCTGGCCTTTTCGGGACCGCCCTGCTGGATCCGGGCGGTGACGGTGTGCATCTTGTCCATGACGGTGGCCATGGCAGCCTCATTGTCGCGGAACTCGGGAGACTCGACGTCGACAGTCGAGGGCAGGCGGGAGACGGCGGATGCGTGGTGGGGAGGTGTGAGGCTGGCGATGCCGGCGCGCCTCTGCACGACGCCGCGCTGGAGGGCGGTCCAATTGCGTGATAACCGAAGAGCCTTCATGTCTGGGACTGTGTGCGATGAGTGAAGGGAAAGTGAATAGAGGAGAGGGGAGAATTGGATCCGGGGTTTGACAAATGATGGGATCTGAATCTGGGGAAGGCACGTCGTGACTTGTGAGAGGTGAGAGAAGGAAGGAAGCACCCTGTAAAGCCGAGAATGCGGGCCGGTGCAAGCCGTGCTCAGCCGAGAATCGAAGCTCGGCAGGTGCAACGACGATACTTCTTGCCTTGACCAGCCGAGCCCTGCATACGCAATTGACTTTCCTCACTAACAATCGAATCTTCGTTTGTTCCCATATCAACCTTTGACCTTTGCTCTCAGATTAGACAGGCTTCTCATTGACATCCAGAACAATGTCTCTCCGAACTTTAGCACGCCCAGCGCTACGCGCACATGTGCGGACGCATCTGCGCCCCGCGCTCGTCGCCCCCATCACGCAGACCCGCTGCCACTCCCAGAAGCACCCCAAGGGCTTCACAGCGCCCGCCCAGGAGGACCTCGAGGAGCTGCGCGACCGCGTGCAGGAGTTTGCACGCCGCGAGATCCCCGAGGAGGTCGCCCAAAACACGGACAAGTCCAATGCCTTCCCCAACGAGATGTGGAAGAAGCTGGGCGAGGCGGGCCTGCTGGGCATCACGGCTGACGAGGACGTCGGTGGCCTGGGTATGGGCTACCAGGCACACTGCGTGGTCATGGAGGAGCTCAGCCGGGCGAGCGGGAGCATCGGCCTGAGCTACGCGGCGCACTCGCAGCTGTGCGTCAACCAGGTCCAGCTCAACGGCTCGCAGGCACAGAAGGAGAAGTACCTGCCCGGCCTCATCTCGGGCGACCTGGTCGGCGCGCTGGCGATGAGCGAGTCGGGCGCGGGCAGCGACGTTGTGAGCATGCGGACGACGGCCAAGAAGGTCGAGGGCGGCTACGAGCTCAACGGCAGCAAAATGTGGATCACCAACGGGCCAGACGCGCACCTCATTGTGGTCTACGCCAAGACGGAGCCCGAGAAGGGGTCCAAGGGCATCACGGCCTTCCTCGTGCAGACGGACTACAAGGGCTTCAGCTGCCAGCGCAAGCTGGACAAGATGGGCATGCGGGGCAGCAACACGGGCGAGCTCAACTTTGACTCGGTGTTTGTGCCCGAGGAAAACATCCTGGGCAGCGTGAACGGCGGCGTGCGCGTGCTGATGGAGGGCCTGGACCTGGAGCGTCTGGTGCTGTCGTCGGGTCCGCTGGGCCTGATGCAGGCGGCCATGGACGTGACGCTCCCGTTTGCGCACCAGCGCAAGCAGTTTGGGCAGCCGATTGCGCACAACCAGCTGGTGCAAGGCCGTCTGGCGGACATGTACACCAAGCTCCAGGCCAGCAAGGCGTACACGTACAGCACGGCCAAGCAGGTGGACGAGCAGGGCATCATCCGCACGCAGGACTGCGCGGGCGCCATCCTGTACGCGGCGGAGCGGGCGACCGAGGTGTCGCTGGATTGCATCCAGCTGCTGGGCGGCATGGGCTACACGGAGGAGATGCCCGCGTCGCGGATCATGCGCGACGCGAAGCTGTACGAGATTGGTGCCGGCACGTCGGAGATCAGGAGGATGGTCATTGGGCGGGCATTCAACAAGGAGTACGCCAACGCGTGAGGCAGGGGATCAGTCGAGGTATTAGACTCGCTTTTTGGTTTCAAGCATTGACAGGACCTGTCTAGCGGTCATAGACTAGGCGTATGGAGTTGCATTGTAGCAATGAATGTATGGCACGATAAAGTGAAGCTGATATGGGATGTTGAGTTGGTGACAGTTGACCTTGAGGAGCTGCCCCATGTGCTATTTACCTAACCTGGAGCGACATGACGATACCCCACCAAGCTTCCAGCGGACGCCCCACCCCGAATTGGGGGATAAGCCGCCTGCATTAGCGCAGATACAGCGCGGACGTCACCAACTGGACTCACCGTGCCCAGGCCAGTATGGACTCTGGAGCATAGCCCCCCAAGATGTTAACTCCGAAAGGTGAAGAAAAAGGGCAATTGCCGACAAGTTGCAGCCGGCGAGGGGGAGGAAAATATCCTTGCCAACCTCCTCGCACTCCGTTCCGCTCTCCAAAGCCATAAACGAGCCAAAGATGGCCGGATCAGAGAGCCCACCAAAGATTGCCATCCATGGCCGCGTCCACGACCTGCCTGACCTCTGGGATGGCAAAGATGACTGGACAGGCGTCACGAGTACTGCAGAGAGAAAGCGTCGCCAGAACCGCCTCAACCAGCGCGCCTATCGTGAGTCTCCCACCCCTGCCTGGTAGAGAGATGCACGTAGCTGACGCGGTCTTTCGCTATAGGCCGCCGGAAGAGAGGTGCAAGCAGCACCGTCACACCACCACCAACCAGGGACGACGAGGTCCATATCCACACTGAAGACGCTTCATGTCTCCTGGCCATCTGCTCCACCTGCACCACCTCCACCTCTGCTCTATCCTCACCCAGCAGCAACGGCAAACAGCTGCAGCAGGCCCTCGTAAAGGTGCGGGATGACGAGCCACACCCCTGGCCACGACAAGACTCACAGGACGGCCTCGAAGATGACCCCGAGACTTGGGACGCGAGTATCATGCAGTGCACGCCTCACCGCGTCGCCCGCATCCGCAGCCTCATCCGGCAAGCCTACGAGGACCACGCCCTCCACGCGCCCCGGATCGACCAGCTGCCCATCCTCATCCGCATCAACGTCATGAACGCCATGGTCCGCAACGCCATCCGCATGGGCTTCCACGCTCACGGCCTCTGCCACGACGACTACCTCTCCCCCTTTGCCGTCCACGACCCCCAGCACCCCAGCACCGTCCTCGTCCCCCGCCTGCCCGACGCCCTGCGGCCGACTGACCTGCAGCGGGCCTATGCGCACCATCCCTGGACGGACCTCTTCCCCTTTCCCCTGTTCCGGGACAATGTCCTGTGCGCCATGCAGGCCGGCCTGCTCGACGAGGACGAGCTGTGCGCCGATATCATGGAGGTCCGCCAGGCTGACGTCGCCGAGGCCCCGAGTCTCATGATCTGGGGCGAGAGCTGGGACGCCATGGCCTGGGAGATGACGCCTGCCTTTATCAGGAAATGGGGCTGGCTGCTCCGCGGCTGCCAGGACTTGATGGCCGCCACGAACCTCTGGCGCACCAGGCGAGGGGAGAGGGCGCTGCCTGTTTGGACGTGGTTGCAGCAGCATGGGGTACAGTAACATAATCCGTTCAGATGTATGCTCTCGCAGACGATGTATATGGTTATATATGTGTACATGTCTGTACATCTCTATATCTGTGCGTGCCACGCAGACCATCTACAGCTTAGTCTCGCTCAGGTGCTTCTCGTTCACCAGCACGTAGCGGTACCGCGCCTTGCCCGCCTCGAGGTCGACAATGGCCTGGTTCGCGTCGCTCATCGGCCTCTTCTCCACCCACGGCTCAATCTTCTTGTCAACGGCCAGCTGCAGCATCTCCTCAATGTCCGACGGCGAGCCGATGCCGCTGCCGCCAATCTTGATGCCCGCGCCCAGCAGCGCAAACACGTTGATCTCGGGGAACTTGCCCCCGTCCGGCGCGCCCACCTGGATAAAGTTGCCATTCGTCCGGAGCAGGCGCAGGTACCGGCTCAGCGGCATGTGAGCGCTCGACACGGTGCAGATGATCAGGTCGAGGGTCCCCTTGCCCGTCTTCCACCAGTCCTTGTCGTCGTCCGTCGCAATGTACTCGTCCGCCCCGAGCGCGAGCACCTCGTCACGTTTGCTGGCCTTGCGGCTGATGCCCACCACCCTGTCTGCCCCCAGCGCCTTGGCGAAGAGCACGCCAAAGTGGCCCAGCCCGCCGACACCCACGATGCCGACCGTCATGCCGGGCCCGCACCCGTTTTTGCGCAGTGGCGCATACACCGTGATCCCGCCGCACATGAGGGGGGCCGCGTACTCGCTCGGCAACCCGTCAGGTATCTTAATGGCGAACTTGTGATGCGTCCGGTTGTAGTCCGCGTACCCGCCCATGGACTTGCCCTCGTCCCCCGGGTAGCGACTGTCGTACGTGTTCACCCTAACGCGGGGGCAGTAGTTCTCCCGGCCCTGCGAGCAGTCTGGGCAGTCGGCCTCGAGGCATGAGCGTCCTTGTGCGCCCACGCCCACGCGGTCGCCCACCTTGATGCTGTCCACGTTGGAGCCGACGCGCACTGCGCGGCCGACAATCTCATGGCCCACGCAGCAGGCTGTCCACATCTCTTGCGTCAGTGGAGAATATGGGCAGTACCTCAATGCGAGACTCACGGTAGTTGGTTGCTCCCCAGCCCGACTTGAGCGTGTGCAAATCCGAGCCACAGATGCCGCAGTGCGTGATCTGGATGTCGACATCGTCCTCCGTCCACTTCTTGGGCTCGAAAGCACCCCATTCCATCTTGCCATTGTAGGCCTCGGGCGAGTGGCCCAGCCAACCTTGGAAAGTGTAGTCTGTCGGCATGTTGAACCCTGAGTATTGCGAGACAAGTGTCAGTGAGAGGAGGGATCTCATTCACCTTGAGGGGTGGGCAAGTGGACGTTTACATACCTCCCATCGTCACTGTGGTTTGGCTACTTGTGGAGCTGGTCTGAAGCGCAATGGTCGAGTCACCACAGGAAATAGACCACGGATGCAACCGGCTCATATTTGACTTTCAAGGACACTAGTCTAGTATCTCCATTGAATGCGGGGTGACGTTGCCGGGGCGGGCGATTTACATCCTCGGCACAATCTTGTCTCGTGTCGCAGATCTCCGAACCCGAAAACACGAATTGCGACGAGCTTGGTGAAAGTAGAAGACTCTTGACTTGTCAGCCAGACAAACTCATGCATACCATGAACGTAGTCTCCAGACTGTGAAAGCTTGCAAGGTTCGCTGCCAAGATGGGGTTGGCAGACTGCGCCCTTGCAGTCGGCACCAGCAGACACATAACCCACTCCTTTGTCTTTTGAAAGATCCGTGAGCATACCGCAATCCAAACTACGCTTGTCAGCCTTTCCTCACAATCACAAGTGGACCCGAACCGCATGGAGCTATCCACGGCACAGCAGACCGCAGTGGTTATGAGGCCACGGTGGGTCCTGCAAGACTGACGACACACGTGGAGGCATGCTTTAACCCCGTCGTGGCTTCGCAGATAAGAACGTTCGTGCATTTGTTGGTAGCCTCGCAGTTCACCGCGCCCCAAGCACTATAAGAGAGGCGTTCAGAATGCGAGTAGACCAAGGAAATCGACGAACATTCGTCAAGATTCGAGACGAGGTCACTACCATTTGTGATCACCATCCAGTCGATCCCATCCTATAGCTTTTTGCTGCAGCACCCATCCTGCGCTTTTTCAAATCGCAATGGCCTCAGTGTGGTTCATCACCGGGTCTTCTCGCGGCCTGGGCCGAGCCATTGTCGAAAAGGCCCTGGATACTGGCGCCAACGTCATTGCCACGGCCCGCCAACCGGACTCCCTCCAGGACATTGTCCAGCGTTACGGTTCCGACCGTTGCCTGACTGTTGCCCTGGATGTGGCCGAAGAGGACCAGGTCACCAGGGCCGTGCAAATTGCCTTCGAAAAGTTCGGCCGCATCGACATTGTTGTCAACAACGCCGGCTATGGCACCCTCGCCGCCATTGAGGACATCAGTGCCAAGGAATTCCGCCGCCAGATGGACACCAACTTTATGGGTGTCGTGAACGTCACCAAAGCCGTTCTACCCATCCTCCGTGAGCAGAAGAGCGGCCACATCTTCCAAATCTCTTCCATGGGAGGTCGAATGGCGACACCGGGCCTGTGCGCTTATCAGAGTGCCAAATGGGCAGTCGGGGGTTTCTCTTCAGTCCTCGCTCAGGAGGTCGCGCCATTGGGTATCAAGGTGACGGTGCTGGAGCCTGGGGGTATAAGAACCGACTGGGCTCGCTCTTGCGCGGAAGCTGTCGAGATTTCCGCGCCCTACAAGCAGACTGTCGGGTATATGGAGAAGATGGTGACTGATATAGCTGGGAAAGAGATGTCACTTCCAGACAAAATCTCCCAGGTCATTGTCGACTTGGTCGGCACTGAAGAGCCTCCACTTCGTTTGTTGATCGGCCCTGATGCTGTCGAGTTTGCAAGCAAGGCAGCCAAAGCGCTTGCAGATTCTGACGAGAAGTGGCGTTCTGTGAGCGAGTCGACCGTGTGAAGTTGGAGGGCCAACGCAAGGATGCCGGCAAATGAGATGTTTGATAGCTTTGCCCTTCGATCCTGTCTGAATCCTGAATACGCATTCCGCACACAAGGCTCTTCTCGAACCTCATGTGATTAGTTGCCGCGCCGCGCCCCGAGTGTCGCGTTTCAAATCCCTAAACGCACACGCGGGACGGCTGCATGTAGCTCCTAGCTTGCTCAACCCCGGATGCAACGTGCAAGAGCGCGGCGGGCACGGGGTCACCGAGGCGGTGTGACATGCAGAAAACGCAATTGAGTGTTATTGACCAGCATTCTTCTCCGAGCTCGAAGAACTCTCGCTCAATCAAGCTTACATCTGGGTTTCGAAATAAGCGTGCGGCTCGTCTCATGACATTGGGCCGTTCTCCAACCATTGGAATGGAGATGCCATGCCAGATCACCTTGGGGCTGTGGCCAGCGAGGGTCCGAGTTTACCAGACATCATCGCAATGACCTCGCGGCCGGCGGCGCAGGACTCTGGAAGAAAAATTGCGATTGTCCACGAGACCTGAAAAGATGGGGTAAACATGGGGGGCATTCTAGGGCAAGATTTGCAGTGCATGAAATGATGGGGGTCGCTGCGGCACGCACTGCCCGCGGCCGGTGTGGCGGCAACACCGACAATTGGAATCGGACATCGTGAATTTGCAATTTGGGCGTCGGTGCGGAGGGAGTGTGGTGTTGCTTTTTGGCGACGACTGCAGGAGTGGACTCTCGACAATTGTCCCCGTGACTCTCGGGCAAGGGGCCGATGTCAGAAGCTCAATTTCGCGGGCGAATGTAACTTGGTGCGAGCGAGATGACAAGCCATCTGGAGCGTGGGGGCTGGCTGCTGGCTGGCGTCGCCGTGTCGTGTTCTGATTCCAGAACCCAGATTCTGGTGTCGCGTCTCCTGTCTGGGCAGGTGGGTGGGCAGAGGATTGGCCTGGTCCTGTGACCTTGTTGCTTCCAAGTTGATTACGACAAGTTGACTTCACACTGGATGCGACAGACGATCGAGCATTTGTATGGAATCGAGATCATACATGTACATCGAGGAACTTTGATAAGGAAGGTGATGCAAGGAATCGATCACTGGGCGGGTTTGTGTTGTTGCCCCAAATGCTCCGCATACCGAGATTGGCAGGAATTGTGCTGTTGCGTATGAATGGCTCTTTCCCATTTTACCTCACGGACCGCCTTGTTCATGGCGACACACCATCTCCATGTCCCGTGGGGAAGCGTCAGGGCTGTAGGATGGTGGCTTCGGGCATTCTGGAATGAGTCGTCTCAAGGTCTGCTTGACACACATTCATGATCTGACCGTGAAGTGATTGTGGCCGCAGACGTACAATTGACTTTCGAGGCATGGAGCCAACCACTCCGGCACTGCCATTAGCGTCCCCGCTTCAGGCACCCTTCAAAAAAACAAAAAACAAATTTGAGATCGCAGGCGTCCGGCCACCCAAAAGCTTGGGTGGGTGCACTTGTATCTACAAGTACAGTATGTACGTAATTACTCTGTACTTATTTTTGGGCGCCAAGTTGCCAATCATAGAGCGAGATGGAGGCTTGGAGCTGCAAGCTGCGAGCTGAGCTGCAGCCGATGGGGGCAGAAGGGTCCAGCCTGGTCTCCCGCTGCAGAGCGACCCGCTCAGTCCGGCCTTCGGACCTCCCTCTCCACCAGGTGTCTGGACTGGACTATCGTGAGTTGTTCGAGGCGAAGCAACTGGAAGAGCTCGTGTAGCACACTCAAGAGGCAGCAGACTTATAATAGATGCTCCATCCCGTTGTTGTAGCTCACAACTTCTAGCCCTTCTTCAAGCCGTACTCCACCATCTTCTCTCTCATCCATCTCCCAGACACAGCTCTGACAACGACGACGAAGCTTGCAATCTTTTCTCAAACAAGCGATCGCACGAGACGATCCCCTTCAGCCTAATAATAATACAGCCAGTCTTCGACCACGAAACAGAAAATTCAACCGCCATTCCTTTCCCCAATCCGACCCACGACCCAAGGCAGCGTTGACCTGTAATCGACGTCGTGGCCACCACCCCCGCCACGAGACACCAAGCCTCCCTTTCACTCGCTCCTCACCCCCTTTACACAGAGGAAACATTATCCTTGCGATCCCTCCCTCCTAAGTTCTCGAGCTCTTCATCTCGAACTAATTCGTCTCGCACCCTGATTTCTCCTCCTCCCCATCTTCCACACAGCATATCATGTCCTCGGCTCTCGCTCCCATGATGCGACAAGCAGCTCGCCGCGCCGCTCTATCCACGGCGCCTCGAGTCGCCGCGCGCCCGACCTTTGCCGCGGTGCGCCACCTCCACCGCGTGCCTGCGCGCCAGGACAAGCCCGGTGAGCACGCCCGGATCGACAGCGACATTGAGATGGAGCACCCCGCCGAGCATGAGCTTCCGAGCAGCAAGCCCGTCCATGGCACCGGCGGCCAGTACGTCAAGCCCACCCTGGCCACCTTCTCCCTCGAGGGCCAGGTCGGTATCGTCACCGGCGGTGCCCGTGGCCTTGGTCTCGTCATTGCCCAGGGCATGGTGTACTCTGGCTCCGACGTCGCCCTGGTCGACATGAACAAGGAGGAGGCGGAGAAGCAGACCAAGCTCCTCATCGACGCCTTTGTCAAGGAGAACCCCAATGCCGAGCGGTAAGTCTCCCTTCATCTGTCGAAGATTGCACTTTGTATTCCCGGCATGGTCTGATAAGAATTATGACAGTGTTCCCAAAGTCACCGCGCACTACGCCGATGTTTCCGATCCCGAGTCCGTCGAGGCCTGCATCAACCAGGTCCTCGCCGACCACGGCAAGATTGACACCCTCGTCACCTCGGCCGGCTTCACCGAGAACTTTGAGGCCGTCAACTACCCCATTGACCGCATGCGCAAGCTGTGGGCTGTCAACGTGGACGGCACCTACCTGTTCGCCACAAGCGTCGCCCGCCACCTCATGGAGCGCAAGGCGCAGGGCAGCATGGTCATGATCGGCAGCATGTCTGGCTCCATTGTCAACGTGCCCCAGCCCCAGGCGTAAGTTCTCGTCCTTTTTGCCCTTTGTTCCCATGTACTCAGCGACTAATTTTCGTCCAGCCCCTACAACGCCGCCAAAGCTGGCGTCCGCCATCTCGCTGCCTCGCTCGCCGTCGAGTGGGCTTCTGCCGGCATCCGCGTCAACTGCATCTCGCCCGGCTACATGCTCACTGCCCTCACCGCCAAGATCCTCGACGAGAAGCCCGACCTCAAGAAGAAGTGGACTTCGCTCATTCCCCAGGGCAAGATGGGTCAGCCCCAGGACCTCATGGGCCCTGTCGCCTTCCTACTGTCCGACGCTGCCGGATACGTCACCGGTGCGGACATTCGCGTTGACGGTGGCTACACTGTCACATAAATTGGGGTTCCATCTGGCGATTGGTCTGCGAAACGAAAATGGCGAGCATGGAAGAAGCGTGTTGCGATTTACAAGCATATGGGGATTCTGGTTACTGGACTGGCATGGTCCGCGACGGCGTTGGGCGTCTCATGGTACAGCAAAGCCTCACTAGAAATATTTAATTAATAACAAGAACAATAATATTGCAACAAAGAGCAAGTGTCTGTCTTCTGAGCTTCTTCCACCAGTCGCTCGTATGGTTCAATTCGACGAACAAGCCCTCACCACGAGTCGTGGAAAACGTTCACCGTTATTACCCCAACGGTCTCCAACATCCCCCTCATGCCTGCGCAGTGCTCGCCTTTTCCCCCGCTCTCCGCGACGCAGTCAGCGCCGCGAGTAAAACGCTACACTTACACTAAGCCATGCTACTACACTACCAACGTAACCATGCGAATTGGGAGCTTCATGTTTCCGCAATGACGAATCAATCATCTTCCAATAATGGCCACCCCCAAATTATGTTGACACTTGACTAAGAAGCTACGTACAGCTGCTTGGCGAAGGTGGGAGGACCTACAGGAGCACACCGTCGTCCGTACGGTATGCATCCAGCGGGTCCGGAGGCGGCAGGAACCGAGCAGCTGTGCGGTGTGGGGGCGACCACACAGTTCCACAGCAATGCGGCGGCGGCGGCGGCGGTGACAAGGGTTTTCATGTTTGCATTGTGCACTTTGAAAAGACGAGCTGTCGGTGAGCCGCGAGCGAGCATTCGCATGGCCCTGTACGAAGTAAGGTTTTCTAACTCATCTTGGGCATTTCGATACTAGTGTAGGGCTTGGTGGAGCCAACCTCATTGTTCACGATGAAGATCCAGACACTATTACCGTTTTGTACAATGTAAGCCAGATGTAGTGAAGTATCCGTGAGCAGTGCGCTGAGCAGCGGCGGGCACAATTCAATTTTTTATCACCTTGCCTTCTCTCGGTTTGCCATTTTCAGCCACTGCTTCCCCTACAGACTGTCGGTGTGGCTGTCCCATGCAGGTGGCAGTGGAGGTGGATAGCAGGTGTACGATTAGATTCAATGCTCGTCGCGCGGTGCGACGGCCGCTGCGAGCAGACTATCAAAATATGGAGTGAGGTTGTCCATCGAGAGGCAAACGCACCGATTGAATACCGAGTCTAGAGATACTGAAGGTTGAAGATTCGTTTCTTTGTTTTGTTTTTATATCATTCTGATAATTAATATAACAGATTTCAGCTCTTGCGGTCGGATCGCCACGCTGGACTCGGATTTTGGCGGGTGGAAGCTTGTGCATCCTGGCGGCGCGTCTGTCCTTCTAGAACTTTGTCGGAACACCTTGGCATTGGGGGCCTAAAGAGGTACAAAATCTTGCCCATCTGATAAAATTAGTAAACGCCACCATGCGATGAAACGTTGAAGCCCACGTTGTCAGGGTGTGTTGCATTCAACTTCCGTCTCCCCCGCCCGGACACCGCCGGTCGAGTTCATGGCCTGCCTGTTGTGTGGCAGGGAGCAGCAGCATTAGAAACCATATTGCGTCCTAATTCTGTAGTCGGGCAACGTCCGCTTGCTGGGTCATTG